GCTCCGTAGCTGCTGGGTTTGAACTTCTGACTTTTAAGTTAGAAACCCTCTGCTTAACCACTGTGCCACCAGGGCTCCCCAGTTTGAGTCCACATTGAAGTTAATGTGACCCAACGTATTCACACAGCTTTTAGTGGCTGGAGCCGTAATTCCTACCTAGCTCCTCGGGATCCCAGAATTTGCACGTGGTAATCAATTACTAATAATAGAACGTTTGGAAAGTTCCAAACAAGGTGCTGGCACATATGTGTGTTACATAAATTTTTCGTTAAGCAGAGAAATCCTTGTAAAAGATAACTTATTAAAAGGTCAGTTACCTCGGATAGCTCCTGTCTATTGAAAGCATACCAGTGGCTTCTCATCACATGCAGCATTAGACCCCTCAAGGTCTTGTGTGATCAGAGAGGGGCCCTGCCTCTCCTTCCACTCAGTCTCCTGCTCTTTTCTGACTCTTTTAGTCTGTTCCAGCCACAGAGGCCTTTTACTCTTCCTGGAGTCCTCGTTCCTTAGCCTGAGATGGTTCCTATCTTTACTCAGATGTCCTCTCAGTCCACTGCAGCTAAATTACACTTCATTGTATCTTCTGCTGCTGCCTTACTCTTCCTCATAGCACTTCTCACAGAGTGTACGAGGGTGAGTCAAAAATTATCCGCATTCCGGTTATATCAGACAATATTGAGCATGCACATGAAATAATTCTGTCGACTAGTCAGGTGGCAGTGGATTATGTACCAAATCATGTGTAAATCAGCCACGGCTCTGCCTTTGAAATAATCCATGACAGGCTTGGGTTTCGAAAAGTTTGTGTGAGATGGATATGGAGATAATTCACGGAAGAACATAAACAGAAGTGTTTGGACATCTGCAAACAAATTTGAACCCATACTTGAGGGAAGATAAAAGTGTCTTTTTTAAAAAAACCCACTGAGAACAAATAAGATGGCAGATCGGGTGGAAGTGCAGTAAAGGAGCTCTGCCAGCAACAACACAGAATACCCGACCAA